TATTTTTAAATATATTGTTTAAATATTATTAAAAAAAATAAATTTTAAATATATGTATTTTTAAATTTATTGTTTAAATATTTTAAAATACTATACATTTAAAATTGAATTTTTCTTATTAAATTAAATATTCTTCTTATCATTAGTTAAATTTAATAAAAACAAAGTTAACAATTTTAGTCTTCCAAGGTATTATTTAAATTACATTAAGCCAAATAAATTAGATAAAAAAAATAATAACCTCTACTATTCAATTAATTCATCTTATGTTCTTCATTTTCTGTTCATTTTTTCTTAAATATACTTCTTTTGATTAAAAGATAGGTGCAATAATTATCCATGAAATTAATTTTAAAAAAAATTAAGCAAATCCTACGTTATCTGAAGCATACCCAAAAAACCTACACACCAATCATGTTAGGTCCCAGATTTTTTTAATAAAGATACTTCCCTAACCCAATCATAGAAGTCAAAATCTGTATCTAACCCACAAAGACACGATCATAGCGGTGAATCACTTTCCATCTTGATGTTCACCCCCACCCCTTCCCCTCCGACGTGTTACTACTTAAACTGCATTTTAAATACGCATTTCAAGTTCGCCGTTTGAAAAATCAAAAACACACACACTCACTTCCACAATGGCTGTGCTTTTCTACCTCTGGACTCTTGGATTTGATTTCCAGACTCTAGATCAACCACCGACCTGATGGATTCCAATATGTCCTTTTCAAGTTTTCCAACTTCTCAACTTTCTAATTTTTTTTTTTTTTTTTTTTTTTGTTCTTCTTTGTTAATTCTCGGTCTCGCATGTTTTGCTTCTAATTTTGCGTTGATTCCTGTAGTTTCTGAAGTCACAATGAAGGCTTCATCACCATCAGGGTGCGGAGAAAATACAAGTTTGAAATTGAGATTTATGAGCTTAAGGATGAATTTGAAATATACAAATTTTAAGTCTTTCAAATATAATGGGTAAAATACATTTATTTTGTTTAAATTTAATTATATTTTACTTAGGTAAAAATAAACAATGACATTAAATTTAAAGAGATAAAATTCAAATACATCCTGTCCAATTTCTGTTTCCATAGAATTAACAAATTGCTAAAGAAAAGACCCTATGTCGAAGAAAGTAAGTGACAATATGAGAGCCGGCAATGCGTGATTGATTATCAAATAGTAACTTGTTTTTCTCACAAATGAACATTAGACATCACTAATTGTCGTCATAGCATAATAATTCATAATAATCCACACCCCCCGCATCGCAGGTGCAACAAGCTAGTCATATGGTAATTAATGGATACCAACGTTCTGTTTAATTGGTATCAAATTGTTAGTTTTATAGTGAATTGATGGCAGTATATACGTACAAAGTACACTGTTTGTGTAAAGATACGGAAAATAGAAGCCTTAGAGCATTTCTAATAGGAGAAAATTCGATTTTATATAAATCTTATATTAGCAATACTTTTATCTATTATTATATAGTAACAATCTAATAACATAAATAGTTTTTATTTGTAATTAAAAATATTAATTTAATTATAAACAAGAATTATATATGATAATGTGTCACTATATTAATAAATTGTGATACAAATAGAGGTATTATGCCTCTTGTAAACAAAATTTCACTTCAATTAAATCATGTTATTAGAGCAAAGAGTTTTACTTAAATAAATGAGAAGCTCATCTAAAACAAGAGATTGCTCTTTACATCAGGCTTTCCACCAGACTTATATTCAAATTTTCTGTTTTTTCAATACCTCTATTATCTAATCCTGTTAAAAAAAAATTTTAAAAAATAATGTTAGTGCCAAATTCCCAAAAACCTAAGAATATGTTGTGCACAACTCAAAATAAAAAAATAAAAATATAAAAATATTAGTGAGATGTCGTGGCTTGATGTCCACAGCCGCACAGCGTATGGTAGCTATTTAGGGGATAAAACGTCATCGTTTAATCCGGAATTTGGTCAACCGTAGTTCCTCTTGCAACACCGACGGGATTCGAAGTAGGGTTTTTGTTCTCCTCCATAATAACGGTAACGGAAGAAAAAAAAATCCAGAAATCAGAAGTCCCATAGATTTGATCCCAGGATCTCTCCTCCTTCAAGGTATCTTCAATTTTCCCTCCAAAACGGCAGAACCCTTCCACTCTTCTCTGATACCACAAAATGCTTAGATTCCTCTCCCCAAATCTTCACCCCTTTTTTTCTGTTTTCCGTTCATGGCAGGGGAAGAGAAAAGGGGAAATTTTGGTGAAATTTTGGTGCTTTGTGCGAGGAGGAAGAACATAGATAGAGTTTGCAGCTGCAGGGACTCCAATGGCGTCGCGTTTCCAGGCGGCGACTCTGGTTGCTTCCCCGTCCTACCCCAATTCCATCGCCTGGTCCGACGAGAACCTGATTGCCGTTGCCTCCGGTCACGTCGTCACCATTCTGGTAAACAAATTTATTTATTTTTTCTGTTTACGCTTTAATTCTTAACTAAAGTAGTTGTTTGAGCATGGTCATCTTCAAAAGTTCACGTTTTCAGTGACCAGTACAGTGAGAGTTTCAGTTGAACTGTCTTTTTCTATCAGAATGCAGCATTGCCTCTTGGACCTCGAGGACTGATAACTGTTCATAAAAGTGAACCTTATCCCATTGGGGTCGTCAAAGAAGAAGGTATGTGAATAGGGTTTCATGATTGATTCCTGATTGCACTATTTGCAAGTTTGTGTGGCGGGATTCTGATTCAATTGATGTTGAGAGTGTGAGTGTGTGACATCATATGGTTAAATTGCTAGTAATATCCATTCTTTTGAATTCATTCCATGTTTGTGTGTCTTAAGATGCAAAGGATTTACTTTTGAGCTTGACTTTCATCTTTACCCCAAAAAATTGTAGATTTATTATCGGGGCCTCTGTTGTCCACTTGTTTGAGTCGGGATCCCCTTCCTTGTGTTCGATCAATTTCATGGTCACCTATTGGAATGGCTCCTAACTCGGGGTGAGAACTTCTTTTTACCTTAAACATGTCATTAAAGTTTCTTTTTCTTTGCTTCTATTTGTTATAAATGATTTTACCATCTTATCTAATTTAATTTCACTTGTAACGTAACTTCCCACAGGTGCTTGCTGGCTGTTTGCACCTTAGAAGGACATGTAAAGCTTTATCGTCCCCCATTTTGTGATTTCTGTGCTGAGTGGATAGAGGTATGCATTTGTCATGAACTTTTTAGTGATAACCCAGCAAGTTGTGATGTTCTTGTTAGCCAATATATTCATAGGGTATAACTACAACAATAATTAAATATGATGGCTAAGTTTGGTGTATTCTTGGTAATTTGTATCATCTAGTATTCTGTCATATACTGATAGAATCTACAAAATGGATTTCCATTCATAATTTCCATCAATAATAGAAAACAATGTACCCTCTCCCTGTCCATCCCTCCCTCTTTTGACACATGCATGGATCAGCATGGAGAAAATCATTTTTCTGGAGAAAACTATTCTTTTTTTATGATTATTTTTTTTAATTATCATGTGAACTTTCAATAACACCATTTTAATACATTTTTGTTAAAAACTGGGTAAAAGCTAGAAGAATTTGAATTTTTATTCTTTTATTTCTTGTCGTTGAAATTTAAACATTAAACCTATTTGCATTTCTTTCCAAAATTTGTCTTGGCATAGTATAAGTAGTTCTTGAAGAACTTATTTTCTTGAGTTCAATGTGCAAGCAATAATTAAAAGTTTTTTTTTTGCATCTATTAATTTATTATTACATCTGGAGATGCTCATAGTTGATCAATTTGTCGACTATGTATTCAGTGAAATTGACGTTTTGGTATGGATTAAGCATGGCTTTGAAAATTTTCTATGTATCAAGCAAAAGACATCTGAAATAACATCTTTGCCAATCCAAAGTTCATAAACACTTGCACAAGCCACCATGCTTGGGAAAATAAGTTAATCATGAAAATTCATTTTAAGAACCCTAGAAAGTCTTTAGCAGACCCATTATTAAATATTCTGGAGGTTAGATCTCTTGGCAAACTGAAATGTCTAGACTTATTTGACATGCTTATTCTTTTAATACATAGATAGGTTGTCTTGCGTAGAACAAATCACAAGCATGCTTGATGCACATTTGAACATTCTTTAGGTGGTTTGCTTGAGAAATTAAGCTCAAAGGGTCTCTTTTCCTCTTTCTCAAAAGCTTTTCATGTATGGAAGAATAGCTTCAAATGCAATAATTGTATCAGACTGTGTAATTTGTTTTTTCTGTCTTTCCTGTAGACTTTTGATATAACAGACAGGCTTTATGATTATCATGGAAGCATAAGTTTCACAAAGCAAGGCATTCCTTCCTTAGTAATTTCTGATGTAAGTTATTTCATCTACTAGATTAGGATGAACCAAGCACTCTGTAACTTGCTAACTTATAGTCTTATACTATTCTATGTTATTTCAACACCTTCTGGATATGTTTTTATAGTCCCATCAGCCCTATATATGTTCATAAACCTCCATATTTTATGCTTAGGAGCCAGAGGGAAACCACGGTCACAGCGATGATCCACCATACTCTGTTTCAGGAAACGAGCAGAAGCGAAGAAGGGTGAATCCATCTGGTGCAACGTAAACAGCCATTCTATCTTTCTCTTTTTTCCTTTTTTTCTTTTTTTCTTTTTCTTTTTTTCCCCTTTGAACCTTTTAAACTACTTTATCTATCACTCTATTATCAATTGCTTTATCTATCACACTTTTCTTTGCATTTAGAAACTGAAAGTTTGGATCTTAGGCTACTAGAAACAATTTTGTGACTGGAGCTCCTAAACAAAAGAGGTTCCAATCCACAATAGGTCCAAGGAGGCTGCTAAAGTAAAGTTACTGCAATTAGTAGCACAATAATGCCAAAAATTTCCCTTCTTTCAAAGAGATGGAATTAAGGCTTTGACTGTGACCAGAAAATGAAGAGCTTATCTTTCAAGTGAACCTAAAATGAATTTGAAATATACTTTTTTGGTTCTTTTGGGACCTTGAACTGTGTTCCACTAGCCTATTGTGTTGGCTTGAGCTGTTCTTGAATAATTTGATCTTATACCTTTTTTTTCTTTCTGAAAATGACTTGCTTTGCAGCAGCACAGCTGGATCAGAGGCTTCTTGGAATCAATTATCATATCATAGAAGAGGCAAGGACATCAGTGCTGGCCCAAGTGCTTCCTTAGGAACAGAGGGACAAGGGTTGCATGAGGTATGGCTTATTTGTGGAAAAGTACCCTCCTAAGACACATACAAATCATTTTCCCTGGGGATGATCTTCATAGTTTCCTTTGAATTTGCTTTCTGCTTGCTTGAAAAGAATTTAACCACCAGTTTATAGCTGTATCAAACTCCTGTGAGACTCTGAATCTACTTGTTATTCTAAATTTTCAGGTACTAAATGCTACACCTGACGAGCTGATGGAGAAAAGTTCACATCAGGCGGCTTCAGCATCTAAATCAAAAAGGAAGTCTGCAAACAAGACACCTGAAAATTGCAACCTACCTTTGATAAGTATAGATCAATATGCTTCTCGTAATGCAATGCTAGCATCAATTGTGGTTTCCTGGTCTCCAATGCTCAAATTGTCTTCTAAAATCTGTCTAATTCCTGAAGACAACTCTTCCAACTGGTTCTCTCTATTAGCAGTTGGTACAAAATCTGGTAAAATTTCATTCTGGAGAATTCATGCACCACACAGCTATTCGATTGAGCAAAGTCAGGTCCCAACCAGTGCAACACTTGTTGGGCTCCTCCAGGCACACAACTCATGGATCACAACAATAAGTTGGGCCTTTCTTACTTCTGATTCTTCAAATCCCATAGTTTTGTTAGCAACTGGGAGTTCTGATGGAAGGTACCCACTTGCATAATAATCAGCTGTTTAATTTATTTTGCTGCAAAAATTCCCTCTCTTTTTTCTTTTCTTTTTTTCTTTTTTTTTGAATATCAGATCCTTTTCTTGTTCATTTCACTTTTGAAGTAAGTTTTAGATGCACCTCATACTGTTAAGGAAATATGTCTTCTGTTAAGGAATTCTTTTTTCTTCTAATTTACATATATTCTGGGTGCTTTACTTATCCAGTAAATAATCTGATTCATTCTCAAGAACCTACAAGTACCAGGAATCAAACCTGCAGTGAAGAAACAATTTAGATGTCTGGAAGCTCTTATAAATCTTATAATTTAAGTTATATTATAGACCACTTGAGGTATTGAAGTGATCTGTATCTTTCAATGGATTGAGCATATTGAAGATCAAACCATGTGAGAGCTATATAGCATTTAAGGTTTGTTCTTATGATAAATTCAGGTCTACGGCAAAGCCCATACAACGTTCATTCTAACCTAGAAACCAGAAATTCATTTAGCAATTTGTAAAATTTGCAACTATCCATTTTAATATTATCCATTCAGCAATTGTAAAAGTTTGAACCTATTCAGCAAAAGTTCATTCTAGCCCATATAATCTTTTCAGGATTTAACTTCACAAATCCTTTCCATTTTAATATTAACCTGAGGAAGGAAATCTGGAGCTCTTTGAAGTTTGAACCTAATTATTGACACTTTATGGATTTGCTCTGTTTCACCTCATCATGTGCAGCGTAAGGATCTGGCTAGGACATGGGAAAGACTTCACAAAGTCATCAGAAGTTAATGATGTTCCATTTTTCCTGTCACAGGAGGTAGCTTTTACCACTCATGTGCTTTTTATGATCTTGTTAACTTATATGAACAAGTCAGATTTATTCTAACCTTACATTTTCCGAATAGATTGTAAGTGTTAATTCTGTACCAGTCTCGGTAGTTTCACTTACTGCACCTGCTCAGTCACCCCAAAATATACTCTTGGCAATGGGAAAAGGATCTGGAGCTTTTGAAGTATGGAGAGGTGACATTGATAGCAGAAAGTTTGAGAAAGCAGCTTCATATGATGCTCATGACCAAGTTGTAAGTTTCATCCTGAGGATTAGTCTCTTTCTACATCTCAATATTAATTTACATGTTCAAAATATCATCAGATTACAGGTTTAGCTTGGGCTTTTGATGGACATTGCTTGTACAGCTGCAGTCAGGTATTAATTCTACAAGGTTCTGTTACATGGCAATTACAATTCTTCAGTTAAATTGACTGCTGTTTTATTTAACTTTTTATTTCTTTTATTTTTATTTATTTATTTATTTTTTTGGATACGAGTTTTTTATTTTACTTTGCAAATGATGTAGGATAACTTTGTTCGTAGCTGGATTTTATGTGGTAGCTCTCTGTCAGAAGTTCCCATTCCCCCAAGTGGTCCTGGTCTGAGGAGTTTTAATGATGTATGATGTCACCCTTTCTATTGTTATTTTCCTTTTATATGTCTATTTAATAAGATGAAAATGTCTTTGCAGCTCCCAGACATGTTTATTTCATGCCTTGGTGTGGCCTTATCCCCTGGAAATATTGCAGTTGCTATGGTATGATTTTGTTTTTGGACAATATCTGTTTCTTATTTCCATGGCTGCTACCTCAAATTTTGTTCATTTTCATTCACCAGATAGTACTTCCTTCAAATATCTGCATGTATTCCTTTTCTTTTGGCTAGTATTCTCAAAATGCTTGATTTCTGATATTCTTTACATCCTCTTTTTCATTTATATTCAGTCTTTCCACCTCATCATAACGTCAGTGTTGGACCAGACATCATTATTGGATTTAGGATTTACAGTATCTATTTGTTTTTTGGCCATAAATATTGATGAATAAACCCCATTTGCCTGTAATCACTTCAGAAAACTGAATTTTAAAGTTCTATAATCACATCCCCCCATACATGTAAAGGTTACTAAGTTTCCTTTGGTAAATGATCTTTAGATCCATATAATCACTGGGAGATGGATTGTTGGGGAAATAATTACACAGCTTTACTAATCACCGTTTTTACCAATCAAATCTAAAGTGTATGCATCTTCGACTTAACGTGGTTCTACAAGACTTGTTTGAGCAAGAAACATTTATTTTACCCTTTTAGCAATTATTTGTAGTTTTGGACTATTCAGGACCAGTATGTTTTCTTCATAATCAACTTCAAAATGGTATCTTCTGCACTGCTTGTTGTGTGCATCTTACTTGTTAACAACTCTTCTAGTAGAGAACACTGGAAGGTGGTGGAACCCATACTGCTGATATTCTGGGTTTAATTTAATCAACTTTCTAGATATTTGAACATAACAATTGCAGCTGGCTATAAAGGCCTTTCCTGAGTATTAGAAAACATTCCTTAACTTAAATGCTGGTGTAAGAAGAAGCAATGTTGTTCATTCAATATTTTATTTTATATTAGATATACGTGCCTCATGGATTGCAGACTTACCTCCTTTGTGTTTGTTTCACCTAGGTTCGGAGTTTTGATGTTGATAAATTGAATCAAATGTACGAAGCAAGGTGAGCAAATGTGTTTGTTTTTTGATTGGTTTATCCAAGTTACAGTCTGTTGATTGTGTAGATAAGTGAATTAATTGCATATAAGTATAGGACATGAACGGATTTTGATAATTGGCAATAAAACAGTTGCACTAAGACTTAAGTTGTGGTTTTTTTTTCCTTTTTTTTTTGGGGAGGGGGGTGGGCAAAAGGTCTCAATTACTCTTTCTTACATTTTGATTTTATCTAGAAGTAAACTGACTAGAAAATATCTGTTA